GGTGCTAAGGGGCCCAGGGATGTTTTGTTTCTGATAACTCTGAGGTACTTGGTCTTAAGACAGAATGTCCTACCAACTCTTAATACCTAACATCAGAATCATCAACTGTATTCAACAGCTGTCTTGATTATAGAATGGTTTCTGGCAGGAGGCTAAGCATCTCTTAGTCCTCACAAATATGCCATGCTGTAATTATTTCTACCTGTGTTTTCAAAGAACTTTGTCTGGAAAAAGACTGCTCATCCTTTCTATCCTGGTTTAAACATCCTTTCCTCAGTGAGAGAAGAGGGAGGATTCCTGGATATGTCAGAGTAGATTTCTTATGGGATACTTTCTTACATGTTTTCCATAGAACTTTACATATATGTAATTATTTGCCTAAATCTTTATGGGTCTTTGTTTTAAAGTCTCTCTTTCCCATTACAGTGTAATTTCCTCAAAGGCAGGAAAAAATCTATTTTATCCTAAATGCTTAGAAAAGAGTACTCGGCATGTAGTAGTTTTCAAATATTTGTTGATCTGCAGCTTTAAGCCTATATATGTGCTGGATAATTCTAAGCTAAGTTGCTTCTAAACAACACTGAAGAAGGAGAAAGTAAAGTCATGTCCACACTCTGCAAATGAAGTGCTGGTGATAGGGAATACATACACCACTGGCTGTTCACCTGCTTGTTACCAGACTTTTACTGTAACAATTACGCATGTGCATTACGGCAGTGAAATCTGATCCTCTGTGTAGCCAAAGTATGTGTGATAATGGGTCCTGTTGTAATGCATTTTGTTCGGATATGCCATTTATACCAGGGTTCTTTTGAGGCTGTCAAGTGGATGAGAGATTTAAAGCAACTTTGTATCCAGATTTTAAAACATCTGGATCCTTTTAACAAGTACTTGTAGGCCTTCTCAGTTCCAAATCCATTGTCTATAAAGAATTCCAGTATTTCTTTTTATCTAAGGCCCTTGTATGAAAGATAAAGCAGTATATTAAGGGACCTGACCATTCCCATTGCCTAGATTTGGATTCTTGTGTCCATTGTGGAAGATTTCTGGAGAAGGAACTGACTCTGTTCTCCCATTTTGGAACTCACTCTCTTTCCGTGCCTCCCCCCAAATACATGGAGCTGCCAAGTATTTTCTCCATTCCTAACAGTTACTGTAATTCCTTTCATTGCAGTTAGTGTCAGAATTTGTTACTTGCAAATATGGTGGAAAATCTGCTAGTTAAGCTGCTCGGTACTGATTCTCTGCCCTTTTAGAAGTGGAAGATTTATTGCATTATAGCACATACTTGATTTTCAACCCTATGCTCCATTTACAAATTCTCCTTGTTTCTGACACCTGCTTGTATATCAGGTCAGTTCTAAAGAGTATGGGGGCAACATGTAAAGTACATAGTAAAATGTAGTTATTGGTAAAAGTTCTGTGCCCTGTCAAGGGAGAGCTCAATATCTAAGCAATAAAACATCTGTAAAATGTCATATTTCCACTGGTCCTGGTGTTAGGAAACAGGTTGAATGGCTTTCCTGATTTCCCTCAATTTTCTGGAAACCACAAGATTTCTGTAGTGAATTCTTTAAAAGAACCTGTAATAAATCTTACATAATTTTGAAAACACTTGATCTGAGAAAGTTTTTTAATAAAAATATGCTTATAAATGGAAGTTTTTCAATACAGAATTATTTCATGACCCAAATAGAAAAGTAATTCTATGCATAGATATTTACTGTCTGCCAGTTCATCAGGCCATTTCCATAAATAATGAACCAAAAGGACCACAAACAAGCAGCTTAACTTTTGTTTGTGAAATGAAAGACTCCAATTCGTAACCAACATTGTATAAGGCTGGTTGCCACGTATGTGTGTGATCAGTACAGAGTTACGTAAATAGCCAACCAGTTAATTCTTATAACATTATTTGCATTTTTATCACCTAATTTTTCCTTGACTGTCCTCTCAGTAGAATATAAGCTCTGTGAGTATAAGGACCTATTCTGTCTGGTTCAACACTGTCTCCACTGGTTGAACAGTGCCTGGTGCCTGATAGATACTCAATTAATGGTTGAAAGAAGGAGCATGTTACATAAACATGAGCAACTTCTTCATGAACGTATCTCCCCAAGCAAGGGAAACAAAAGCAAAAATGAACACATGGGACTACATCAAACTAAAATGCTTCTGTACAGCAAAGGACACCATCAGTAGAACAAAAAGACATCCTACAGTATGGGAGAAAATATTCATAAATGACATATCCGGTAAGGGGTTCATATCGAAAATATATAAAGAGCCACGCACCTCAACAAACAAAAAAGCAAATAAGCCAATTAAAAAATGGGCAGAGGATCTGAACAGACACTTCTCCAAAGAAGAAATTCAGATGACCAACAGGCACATGAAAAGATGCTCCACATCACTAATCATCAGAGGAATGCAAATTAAAACCACAATGAGATATCACCTCACACCAGTTAGGATGGCCAACATCCAAAAGACAAATAACTACAAATGTGGGTGAGGATGTGGAAAAAGGGGAACCCTCTACACTGCTGGTGGGAATGTAAATTAGTTCAACCATTGTGGAAAGCAGTATGGAGGTTCCTCAAAAAACTCAAAATAGAAATACCATTTGACCCAGGAATTCCACCCCTAGGAATTTACCCTAAGAATGCAGCAGCCCAGTTTGAAAAAGACAGATGCACCCCTATGTTTATCACAGCACTATTTACAATAGCCAAGAAATGGAAGCAACCTAAGTGTCCATCAGTAGATGAATAGATAAAGAAGATGTGGTACATATACACAATGGAATATTATTCAGCCATAAGAAGAAAACAAATCCTACCATTTGCATCAACATGGATGGGGCTAGATGGTATTATGTTCAGTGAAATAAGCCAGGTGGAGAAAGACAAGTACCAAATGATGTGATTCATCTGTAGAGCATAAGAACAAAGCAGAAAAATGAAACAGCAGCAGACTCACAGAACCCAAGAATGAACTAACAGTTGCCAAAGGGAAAGGGACTGGGGAAGATGGGTGGGAAGGGAGGGAGAAGGATAATAATAGGCATTATGATTAGCACACACATTGTTGGGGGAAAGGGGCATGGGGAAGGCAGTATAACAGAGAAGACGAGTAGTGACTCTATAGCATCTTACTATGCTGATGGACAGTGGCTGTAATGGGTAATGTGGTGGGAACATGATAATGGGGGGAGTCTAGTAACCATAATTGCTCATGTAATGGTATATTAATGATACCAAAATAAATAAATAAATAGAAAATTGGTTAGTATTACTGAGACCTTAAATGTGTTGTTTGTCTCTTACAAGGCACCAGTTACTGTCATATTTCTGTGATTTATTTTCAATGTCAGGGGTGATATACTTAATTCTATTTTTAATAAACACCAAATAAAACAATTTTTATATTTAAAAAAGGAATGTGTTTATGAATATGTTTACTTTTTTGTCAAAATTCTTATTGTAAAGCAGTTTTTACTTCCTGGTAGTATTTCTTGCACTCCTAGCATTACATCTCAAGATGAAATAGAAATAAAGCTTCAGTTGCTGGTAATACAACACAAAAGAATGGCATGTGCCTTGAACTTTTAACATTTTCAAAAAGCAAAAAAGTATGTGTTGGCAGGGAGAAAAACATCACTGGAAGGCACACCACTGATTTTACTTTCCTGAGATGGCAGAGGCAAAGGTAAGGAGGTAGGTTAGGTGGTGGCTAGTCTAAGAAAACATGCTGATTTTTGAAACCACTCTGGTTGGACATAATAGTCTAAAACATAAGAGAGAGGCCTGAATTAGAAGTATGAGTTTACTGGTCATACAGTAGTCTTACAGTAGTGTGTGCAACTGTGAGAGTAAATGAACTCAGGCAGTGAGACTCAGAAGAGGAAAAACAATAGAAGTTTAGAAAAACATTTACTTCAAGAATGAGAGCACGATACAGCTTTGGATGGAAAAGTATGGAAGGATTGAAAAAAAAATTCCCTTTAATTTGGCATTTGCATAGCAATTAAAATTTTTGTAGGGGCAGTTTAAATGGAGTGCTGGGTCCAATAGCTAGACAGCAATTATGTTAGAGTGCTTTTTATTAGAGAATAGTGACACTTTATTAGAAAGCTGTGTCACTTCAACTGACTCAAAAGTTAAGATATTTATTGCAGAGATTCTCATGTTTCCCAGAAATCTAAGGGAATAGACTCTACTCCTAATTTTTCACCCCTAAGTATGATGTTAGCTGTAGGATTTTTGTAGATATTCTTTATTAGGTTGATGAAGCTCCCTGTTTTAGGTTTACTGAGAATTTATATCATGAATTGGTGTTGGATTTTAGCAACTTTTGATTTAGAAAAATCAATCAATGTGATTTTTCTTCTTTAGTTTAATGTTGTGATAGATTATATTAAATGATATTCAAATGTTGAACCAGCCATTCATACGTGGGATAAATCCCACTTGGTCATGGTGTATAATCTTTTATATAATTGTTATCTAAATTATTTATTAATATTCTATACATTGTTATCTATATTATTAATATTTTTAGATATTAATATTTTTTAATTATTAATTTTCTATGTTCATGGTCTCTAGGTTGCTTGTTATGTCTTTCATTTTGGTATTAGTGTAGTGCTGTCTTATAGAATGAGTTAGGAAATATTAGCTGTTTTTATCTTCTTAAAGATAATTACTCTGTTTAGAAAGCTGGATGAAAAGAAAGGAGACAGTGTAGGAGACAGTTAAGTGGCAATGTGGAATATTCCTATTCAGACAAGAGGGAGATACTAGAGGCATTTAAGAGAGAAAATAACAGAGCGAGCATGGTTTTGAACAAATACGGTTGAGATAAGAGCACAGAATTGAAGGATTGACTGCAGTTAAAGATGTGACACCAAATCCTTTAAAATTGGAAGGAGAAATATGCATTTTCCACTATCATGATGTTATTGAGGTGTTTCATTATTCTTTTCCTTCCCGCTGCAGGTCCTGAATCTGTGCCTCCTTCGCTTCTCAAAGTCGTGACGAAGCCCATAGCAGCTGTTGGAGAAAGCTACCAGTACCCCCCTGTGAACTGGGCTGCGCTCCTCTCTCCACTTATGAGGCTCAACTTCGGTAAATATTAAGTGTTTCTGGGTTTTCAGACTCTGCTTTTAGGATGTGACCTGAAGAGAAAAATAGATTCTGTGTCATGACTCGCAGTAACTTGCTAGACCTTTGACATCTTGAGCTTTGTCTTCTTGGGTGGGACAGCTGGGTCACTTTCACGGAGTCACTTTATAAATAGCTGAGAGAGGGGAGAAGGAGGCCTGAAGACACAGACCAGAGGGATTCATCAAACAATACCTGACCGAGCTGTGCACAACACTGGGTGTATGTACAGGTCTCAGAAAGCCTGGACTGGTGGTCATCAAACTGCATTTCCAGAGCCCCAGGCTTCAGGAGTACTCCCAGGCTGCTGCGTTAGTTTTCTGCCAATGCTTGAGCAACGACTTAGTGTCTGAAAGCACACGAATTATTGTCCCATAGTTCTGTAGAGCACGACATGCAACCTGGTTCTCACCGGGCTAAGATCAGTGCACTGGCACAGCAACATTCCTTCCTGGATACCCTAAGGGAGCGCTCAGGTCCGAATGTCCCCCCAGGTTCATCCGTCAAAGTCCTAGCCCCCAATGTGGTGGGGCCAGGGGGTGGGGCCTTTGGGAGGAAACTAGGTCATGAGGGTGGAGCCTCATGAATGAGCTTTGTGCCCTTATGAAAGAGGCCCAAGAGCTCCCTCGTCCCTCCCTCCATGCAAGGACATAGCAAGAGGTCAGCAGTCTGCAACCCAGAAAAGGATTCTCACCAGAACCCAGCCGTGCTGGTACCTGATCTTGGACTTGCAGCCTCCAGAACTGTGAGGAATACATTGCTGTTTATGAACCACCCAGTCTGCAGTGGTGTTATTGCTGCCCAAGGAGACTAAAGCAGGAAGAATCCATTTCCTTCTCTTCTCCAGCTTCTAAAGGCTGCTCACATTCCTTGGCTTTTGGCTCCCTTTCTCCATCTTTGAAGCAAGTAACAGAGGTGCTGAGACCTTCTGACACTGTCTTCCTGATAGTTCTCTGCAGCCAGGAAAGATTTGCTGCATATAAGGATTCATGTGATTAATGGGACCATTTTAATAATCCTAGATAATTTCCTCTTCTCAAGGTCCTTAGCCTTAGTCACATCTGCAAAGTCCCTTTGCCATGCAAGGTAACATAGTCACAGGTTCAAGGGTTTAGGATGTAGACATCTTTGGGGGCCATAATTCTGTTTACCACGGATACTTTGTGGTGAGAGACAGAGGGAACGTACACCACAGCCTCCTTTATGGAGCTAGCATATGCAAGTTTGACTTCATATACTTGTGCCCACCTCCAAAAAAAAGGGAGGGAGAACAATTTTAACAGTGCTGTGTGTGTATTTGCCATGAGTGCTCCATTATTTACAGTAGGGTGCTTGCTTAATATATACAGAAAAATTTGTACTGTACTATAATTTGTTTTTAGTTTAAGGAATAAGCAAAGATGATTGTGAAAAATAAGCAATTTTTCACTTAAATGCTTTCATTTGAATCTAATCCCTGTGTAAGATATGATGTCACCATACTGTGTTTCCAGAGATTTCATTTGAAAAATATGTTCTCCTGCCCGTTCCTGCGTTTGTGTACTATATTGAAAATGTTTACCTTTTAGTAAAAGTCCTCAGAAAAAAGAAAAGGTCTGGTGGGGAATCTACATCTTCTGATGAGGATCAGATTACTAAAAAGACTTCATCACTGGAGAATGTGGCTACATCTTTAAGTCCTTAAGACCTAGCCAGGTTGTCTGTGTGCTGAATGCAGGGGAGAAAGGAAGGAAAAACAGAGATTTTTTGCTAGAACTTTCTCATATTTTTGATAATACAGTTGCCCCTTGAGCACCATGTGTTAGGGGTGCCAAACCCCTGGGCAGTTCAAAATTCATGTATAACTTTTGACTCCCCGTAACTTAACTGCTGATAGCGTACTGATGGCTGGAAGCTTTATTGATAACATAATATATATGTATGTATATGTATTATATATTGTAGCCTTACAATAAAGTAAGCTAAAGAAAAGAAACATTTTTAAATTGTTGCAAATCTCCAAAAAATTTTCCAATATATTTACTGAAAAAAAAATCTATGTCTAAGTGGTTCAAACCCATGTTGTTCAAGGGGCAACTATATTTGAGTATTTAGGTTTCTCTCTACCTAGGAGAAATTTCCCAAGCTGGTTGAAGGCCCCTGGCAGTTCTAATGCTTGGTAATCTGATGCCAGTGGGTACATTCTTTTGCCTCATAACAAAAATTCTCTTAATACGCCCTTTGGTTTACTGAAGTTCTATTACCTGTAGCTGTCACACCAGCAGGCACTTTAGATATTGGCAGAAAGGATGCAGACCTCAATAACATCCACCTTCAATTAAAGAGAATTAGGATATGTACGAAAGCTTAGAAGAAAAAAGTGCTTAGTCAGGACTGAGGCGAAAAGATTGAGGAAATGATAAGATGGCTTTATACTTTTCTCAAAGAATTAAAGCCTTCCAGAAGAGAAGAATAACAGAGATGAGATCATTTAACTTTCAATCAGCTGGTAAACTTCTAAGGAATCTAAGAAGGTAAAACTTCTAAGGATGTTATAGAACATGTTTTGTTTTGTTTTTTGCTTGAAACGTACTCAAAATTTTAACATCTTTACTAAATTTCAAATCTTTAAACAATCTTGCCCTATTCTTCATCCTTTCTGCCAATATCTAAAGTGCCTGCTGGTGTGATAGATTTGAGATATTGAAGCCTGAAAATGAGATAGAGAGGCAGCTACATTACAGCTATTCTTACCTCTTTTCTCTCTTTCAGGTGAAGAAATACAGCAACTGTGCCTTGAAATTATGGTGACGCAGGCACAGTCATCCCAGAATGCCACTGCACTGTTAGGATTGTGGGTGACCCCGCCACTGATCCACGGTCTGAGTGTATGTAGTAGTTACAGGTGTTGGGTAACAGGAGGCTCTTTTCGGGGAGCTCAGTGTTCATTTGGGTGTGTGTTCTCAAAGTCAAAGGTGGACAAATGGGACCTTCCAGAAACTGAGGGCTTCACAGTAGCTGGCCAGCAGATTGGAAAATTGTGCAATTCAGAACCCTGCTATAGCCATCACCATTCATGCTTTCACCTACCACTTATTACTAAAAAAGGAAAATGATCAGAGACATTAAATTTCCTTTCTTAAGATCATACAGGTAGAAAGTTAGAGAGTTATTGGAACCTAGGCTTATTTATTTATATGATATGCATCATCATTTCAGTAGGTATTAAGAGAAAGGCAAATCCTCATGTACTGAATGTATGATCCCTCCCGTTCCCAGAAAAAGCAGCAATTAAGGTGAGCCTTGAAGGGCTTGGTAGGATTTCATTGAGCAATCAAGTTCGAGGCATGACACGATGTAGGTGGGAAGGTGGAGGTGGAGAGAGTGAGACATACTGGCTAGCAAAGGCTGAGGATGGGGCAATCTGGCCTGGTATTTGGGATAGAGAGAGAGCGCCAGCACCTTCCATGGTGCAGGCTAAGTGGATAGGAAGAATAGAGGGAGATTGTTTAAAGATGTGAAATTTAGTAAAGATGTTACAATTTTGAGTATGTTTCAAGCAAAAAAAAAAAAAAACACTTTCTATGATTCCTTAGAAGTTTACCAGCTGATTGTAAGTTAAATGAACTCATCTCTGTTATTCTTCTCTTCTGGAAGGCTTTAATTCTTTGAGAAGAGTATAAAGCCCTCTTATCATTTCCTCAATCTTTTGGCCTCAGTCCTGACTAAGCACTTTTTTCTTCTAAGCTTTCCTGCATCTCCTAATTCTGTTTAATCGAAGGTGGATGTTATTGAGGTCTGCGTCCTTTCTGCCAGCCTTCTTCATTCCGTGTCGGCTCCAAGCAGCTCCCATCTAGCTGCCACTCAATGAGCACTTGCTGGGTACCTGCCATGTGTAAGCACTCAATGAGCACTTTCAGACATTAGATTTAATCTCTCTGCAACTCCGACAAGCCAATTTTTTTCAACTTTGAGTTATAATTAATAATCCATAAAATATGGCTAGTTTAAGTGAGCAAGTTGATTAGTTTTAGTACATTCATACATTTCCATATCACCAGTAATATTACCATCAACCCCAAAAAGTTCCTTTGTGCCTACACGGAGTCAGTCCCCACTCCCAATCTCAGACCTGGGCTATCACTGATCTGCTTTTTGTCTTCATAATTTTGCTTTTTTAAAAAGAACTTGCCAGGAAATTTAAATTTTATAAGACTTTAGAAGTTGTTTAGAATGGGACCATACAATATGAAATCTTTTGTGTCTGGCTTATTTCACATATGAGCAGTAAGTTTTATTATTTCCATTTTATAGGCTGATAAACTGAGGCAAGCGAGGGTGAACAAAGTTTACATAGTTAATGAATGCAAGACAGTCTGGCCGACTCCAAAGCACATGTCTCAAACACAGTTCTATTAGTTCCTCCTTCCTTTTGAATCAGTTGTAACTCTAACAGCCTGTTTGGTTGACCTCAGAAATTTTTCTATAGTTTATTCTTCCACTTCCCTTTTAGATGTGTGCTACCCTTCTGTATCTGTCCTTGATTATGGACGTATCTTTTTAAATTAACAAATTAAGTTCATGAATTCATTTTCTTAATTACATGCCTTCTCATTTTGAACAGCGAACTTTGCAGATAACTCATGCAACTCCACTGATCTTTTTTGACATCTACTAGTTTTGTCAGATTTTATGTTTTATACCACTTGTTTTCAACTTGCTGCTCCTTCACTGCCGTACTTACGTTTCTAAGAATTCCTGAAGCCTGCTCTCTTAAAGTTTATGGTATGGACTCTCACTGGGGGTCGGGGAGCCCCTCCTCAGCTCTCGTGAATGCTAAGATGCCGTGAGCAGTCCCACAGGCTCAGCTCGTTCTCCTTTGGTCAGAAATGCTCCCAGCATGCCAGGGCCCCTTAATACCATTATGCTTCCTCAGGAGAAGAAATTAATAATATCTTATATTCTGTTGAGTCAATTTCCAGCAGATAAACCTTCCATCTTCAGAAGCTTTTCTTGCCAGGGAATGTGACCTTTAAGACTGAATAGCAACTGTCATGTATTTTTCAAAGTAGCATTTTATTCTCCTCACTGAAAAGATCCAAGGTTTAAGCTGAGTAGTTCACAGATGGATTGGCAGATACCATATATGCACATGAGTCACCCTGGATCAGAAGTCACTACAGCAGCCAAAATTGCGCTGGACCACAAAGCTGTGGGAAAATGAGGGGCAAGGAAGTAACCCGAACCTTTCATCTCACAGTCTGCCCTCGCACACAGCGATGACCTAGAAATTCTGAGCATTGCAAGCCCGGACTTGCCTGTTTACACTGACCTCTTCTGTTTTGCTTCCAGCTAAATAGCAAGAAATACCTCCTGGTATCTGCGCCTCTGTGGATAAAACATGTCTCTGATGAACAGCTCCTGGGCTTTGTTGAAAACTTAATGGTGGGAGTTTTTAAAGTAGCTTCTCCACTTTCCAATTCTGAGTTATGCCTGAGTGCCTTACAGGGTCTGAGCCAGTCCATGAAACTGCCCAGCCCTGCCCACCACCTCTGGAGTTTGCTTTCTGACGCTACTGGAAAAATTTTTGACCTTCTGCCAAATAAGATTCGGGTGAGGCACAAAAATATTTACATTCCTGACAATTTATATTGAGAATTTTTTAAAGCCTTTTTGGCAAAGCAGGGAGGTGTACATTTAAGAATGTGGTGGGAAGGCTAGCAAGAAATAACCACATTCTTCAGTAAGATGTGTTTGCTTCCAAGATCTAAATTGAGGTTAAATATTTAGAACCAAAGTTTAGAACAAGCTCAAAAGTGGGTTAACCAATGCTGTACCAAGAAATGTGCTCTTAAGCCTGTTACCAAATGCCTGTAGAAAGTGAGCAAGCTCAGAAACCCTTATACTTAACACCTGGAGAATCCTTGGGGGTATTGTCCAGGATATTATTTATATCAAATGACTTAATCCTAGCCATTCCCCTCCTCCAGCTGGCTTCTGAATTGTAATGTTAACATAGAAATTAAAAATCTGGAATGATGGGTTCTGATAAGGAGCAATAAGTACAGCCACACAAATATGTAAAATTACAGGAAAGATGTTTTTTAAATGATTGGCTGCATGTTTTGGTTTGGTTAAAATTAAAAGCTGCTATTCATGGAAATAAGCAAATCTGATAGTTTTTCAGAACATTGAGAATATGCTTATTGTCTCATGTTGTATTGTGACATGCTTGGGGTTTTTTCTTTACTAGAGAAATGATCTTTTGTCGGCTCCAAGCAGCTCCCATCTAGCTGCCACTCAATGAGCACTTGCTGGGTACCTGCCATGTGTAAGCACTCAATGAGCACTTTCAGACATTAGATTTAATCTCTCTGCAACTCCGTCAAGCCAATTTTTTTCAACTTTGAGTTATAATTAATAATCCATAAAATATGGCTAGTTTAAGTGAGCTAGTTGATTAGTTTTAGTACATTCATACATTTCCATATCACCAGTAATATTACCATCAACCCCAAAAAGTTCCTTTGTGCCTACACGGAGTCAGTCCCCACTCCCAATCTCAGACCTGGGCTATCACTGATCTGCTTTTTGTCTTCATAATTTTGCTTTTTTAAAAAGAACTTGCCAGGAAATTTAAATTTTATAAGACTTTAGAAGTTGTTTAGAATGGGACCATACAATATGAAATCTTTTGTGTCTGGCTTATTTCACATATGAGCAGTAAGTTTTATTATTTCCATTTTATAGGCTGATAAACTGAGGCAAGCGAGGGTGAACAAAGTTTACATAGTTAATGAATGCAAGACAGTCTGGCCGACTCCAAAGCACATGTCTCAAACACAGTTCTATTAGTTCCTCCTTCCTTTTGAATCAGTTGTAACTCTAACAGCCTGTTTGGTTGACCTCAGAAATTTTTCTATAGTTTATTCTTCCACTTCCCTTTTAGATGTGTGCTACCCTTCTGTATCTGTCCTTGATTATGGACGTATCTTTTTAAATTAACAAATTAAGTTCATGAATTCATTTTCTTAATTACATGCCTTCTCATTTTGAACAGCGAACTTTGCAGATAACTCATGCAACTCCACTGATCTTTTTTGACATCTACTAGTTTTGTCAGATTTTATGTTTTATACCACTTGTTTTCAACTTGCTGCTCCTTCACTGCCGTACTTACGTTTCTAAGAATTCCTGAAGCCTGCTCTCTTAAAGTTTATGGTATGGACTCTCACTGGGGTTCGGGGAGCCCCTCCTCAGCTCTCGTGAATGCTAAGATGCCGTGAGCAGTCCCACAGGCTCAGCTCGTTCTCCTTTGGTCAGAAATGCTCCCAGCATGCCAGGGCCCCTTAATACCATTATGCTTCCTCAGGAGAAGAAATTAATAATATCTTATATTCTGTTGAGTCAATTTCCAGCAGATAAACCTTCCATCTTCAGAAGCTTTTCTTGCCAGGGAATGTGACCTTTAAGACTGAATAGCAACTGTCATGTATTTTTCAAAGTAGCATTTTATTCTCCTCACTGAAAAGATCCAAGGTTTAAGCTGAGTAGTTCACAGATGGATTGGCAGATACCATATATGCACATGAGTCACCCTGGATCAGAAGTCACTACAGCAGCCAAAATTGCGCTGGACCACGAAGCTGTGGGAAAATGAGGGGCAAGGAAGTAACCCGAACCTTTCATCTCACAGTCTGCCCTCGCACACAGCGATGACCTAGAAATTCTGAGCATTGCAAGCCCGGACTTGCCTGTTTACACTGACCTCTTCTGTTTTGCTTCCAGCTAAATAGCAAGAAATACCTCCTGGTATCTGCGCCTCTGTGGATAAAACATGTCTCTGATGAACAGCTCCTGGGCTTTGTTGAAAACTTAATGGTGGGAGTTTTTAAAGTAGCTTCTCCACTTTCCAATTCTGAGTTATGCCTGAGTGCCTTACAGGGTCTGAGCCAGTCCATGAAACTGCCCAGCCCTGCCCACCACCTCTGGAGTCTGCTTTCTGACGCTACTGGAAAAATTTTTGACCTTCTGCCAAATAAGATTCGGGTGAGGCACAAAAATATTTACATTCCTGACAATTTATGTTGAGAATTTTTTAAAGCCTTTTTGGCAAAGCAGGGAGGTGTACGTTTAAGAATGTGGTGGGAAGGCTAGCAAGAAATAACCACATTCTTCAGTAAGATGTGTTTGCTTCCAAGATCTAAATTGAGGTTAAATATTTAGAACCAAAGTTTAGAACAAGCTCAAAAGTGGGTTAACCAATGCTGTACCAAGAAATGTGCTCTTAAGCCTGTTACCAAATGCCTGTAGAAAGTGAGCAAGCTCAGAAACCCTTATACTTAACACCTGGAGAATCCTTGGAGGTATTGTCCAGGATATTATTTATATCAAATGACTTAATCCTAGCCATTCCCCTCCTCCAGCTGGCTTCTGAATTGTAATGTTAACATAGAAATTAAAAATCTGGAATGATGGGTTCTGATAAGGAGCAATAAGTACAGCCACACAAATATGTAAAATTACAGGAAAGATGTTTTTTAAATGATTGGCTGCATGTTTTGGTTTGGTTAAAATTAAAAGCTGCTATTCATGGAAATAAGCAAATCTGATAGTTTTTCAGAACATTGAGAATATGCTTATTGTCTCATGTTGTATTGTGACATGCTTGGGGTTTTTTCTTTACTAGAGAAATGATCTTGAGTTATATGTCAGTGTCGCAAAATGCCTCTCGGAAATGACAGATGATGAAGCCAACCGGGTTGCCCAGATTACCAAGGTAATAACACATCTATATATTTTTTTCACCGCTGAGGTGGGAATTACAGTTGAAGAGGTGATTACAGTGTCCTTTGGGCTGAAACTAGTTTTGCGTCATATTTGTTACTGGCTAATTTCAGGAAACTTTCTCAGTGTCACTGTGGGGTCTCATGTCCAGCATAGTAGTATGGTTGGATTTGTGGTCGAATGTATAGATAGGTGGATGAATAGCTTTTTAACCTAATTAATCCCAGCTTGTCAAAAACATTTTAGTGTCACCTATGGGAAAAAATAAGTATAGGACATTGTCTTCAATACAAAATCCACAAAAATGGGAATATTCTGGCCAAGGAACTTTCTGGCACATGGAAGGCAGAAATAAGTAATTCTGTTCTCACATTTATTTCCCTTTACCTGTTATTTATCCTTTTGGAATGACAAAAGGTGGCTGATTGAAAAAGAAGCACTATTAAACCTGACATAGATAATTAATGCCTAAAGGGTATCAGAATGAAAAAGTAGCATATAAGTAAAGTTGCCAGATTTAGCAAATAGAATACAAGATATCTTGCTTAATTTAAATTGTAGATCAACAGTGAATAAATTTTAGTATAAATACATCCCAGTGGGCATACTTACTCAAATGGCAACCCAGCATACTAAGTAATACTGAAGATCAGGAGAACTGTGAGCCTCATGTAGCTGGTGGACATCTTATCATTTATTTTACCTTATGGCAAGTTTGCCTATTCAGTTGAATCCTTGAATTTCTACATCGTGTAGCAGTGACTCCCAAAACACGGTCCCTGGATCAGCAGCATCAGCTTGGAACTGATTAGAGATGAAAATTCCTGAGTCCCCTTCAGACCTACTCAATCAGAAATGCTGGAGGTGGGGTCAGGAGTCCGAGTTTAACAGTCCCTCCAGATAATTGTGGTGCATCCTAAGGTTTGAGAACCACTGTTAGAGTATTTGGAATATCAGCATTTTGGAGATGAGTTTATTTTAAGCAAGGACAAGCAGTATAGGAAATGCTTGAGAGGATGGACCCTGGAGCCTCCCGTGGGTTTGAAATCCAGTTCTCCCACTTACTAGTCATGGGACCTTGGTTAATTTTCATAACTTCTCTCTGCCTCAGTCTCCTCACCTTTAAAAGGGAGATAATAGTACCCACCTCCTAGGGTGGTTTGAGAGTTAAATGATTTAATCCATGATGTTAAGTTCTTGAAAAAGTGCCTGACTGAATGAAGGCAAATACTCAGCAATTACTTATTATCATAATTACTGCATTCATGTAATTTATTATATCCTATTCTTATAGGCATGTAATATAGTTGGAACTAATACATGTAATTTATTCTGTGGTTCCTAGAGCTAAAGGGTCCTGTGTTATTCACTTGGGTTTCTAAGGTACCATTGAGGGCATTTTCACCAGAACATGTTCTGATGTCCCCGAAAGGGTTCCTATATTCCACTAAGATCAGTGGTTTTTCTCTGCATTTCTGGCAAGAACAGAGGTAAGAATAAGGTAGGGGTGAAGAGTTCAGACTCTCTGGGTTCCAGTTATGGCCGCTTATAACTATGTGACCATAAGCACGCTACTTAACCTCTGCACTTCTGTCTCTTCATCTGTGAAGGGGGCACTATAATAGTGATATCTACTGCCGAGGGCGGGTGGGAGAATTAAATGGTTAATACAGTGTTTCTCAAACTTTTTGGACTCAGGACTACTTCTGCATCTTAAAAACTATTAAGGACTCCAAAGAGCTTTTATTTATATATGTTGTATCTGGCAATATTTTACCATATTAGAAATTAAAAACTACCATATTAGGAAATTTAAAAGTATTTATGTAAAAGTAATAATAAACCTGCTGCATCTAAACATAAATAAGAAAAAATGTTTTCCTAAAAAAAGTGAGAAAAGTGGCATTCTTTTAAATTTTTGGAAATCTCTAATGTCTGGCTTAATAGAAGACAGTTGGATTTTCACAGCTGCTGCTTCATTCAGTCTGTTGTGATATTGTTTTGGTGAAATGTGTGAAGAAAATCCACCCTCATACAATATGTAGGTGGAAAGAGGAAGAATATGTTAGTAGTCCTTTTTTAGATAATTGTGGATATTTTTCTTTGATATTGCACCAAACTCAAGAAGTTTCTTTTAAGTAGCTTCTTATAAGTCAGTTGCAACGTGGAATCTGAAACCATATCAGTGACCATATCATTCATATACTCTTTTACATTATAATCCATTGGTCAGTCTTGCACTCTGGGCCTTTTACCAGTGCATGATTTTGTAATATCACACATTGGTCATTTGGGAAATACTAAATCACCAAGTTTTGAAAGTCTTCTAAATGTTGATGCATTTCATTATAAAATATCAAAATACCATCTCACCAACAGTCTCATCAGAAAAATCTTTTATGTATGGGGAAGCTGCCAAACTCATAATAGCAGTACAAATTTCCCAAAAATCTAATCTTCGCTTGAAAGCTCAGATGTTATCATTGGCAACAAATCCGTCAAGTATTGTCCTTAAAGTGACAGTTTCACTTCCTGCAATTTTAACAAAATGATCTGTCATACACTCATTTGAATAAGTAAATGGTGTTCCATGAAGAACGGCCACATCAGCACACAAGTCAATTATTAGAAATGTTTTTCCCTGAGATATAATGCTCTTCCTTGGGTAGGAAACGGAAGTCCTGTATGCACACTTCCCATTTTGTCATACAGAATATTAAGAAGTGTACTTGGTGCAAAGGTTTAATGAAACTAATATTTTTTATTGTTTACAAGGATATTTTAAATGAAACTAGCTTTTTAAAAAATTTCAAGTGGCAGTGAAATTACAATGAATATTTCTACAGTTTTGGTGATAACATGAATATAGTTTGAACTCCAAACCCATTAAAAGGGACTTGGGGTCCCTCAGAGGTCAGTGTACTGTACTTTGTGAACCACCAAATTAATGCACATTAAGGGTTCAGAATGGTGCCTGCCACATGGTAATTATTATATTTGTTAGATATCATTGTTGCTGTTGTTATTTGTGTATCCATACTGAGTATCCTCACCAATTATGTAAAAACCACAAATGATAAATCATTTGTGATTTTTATGAGAAAACAAGAGGTGGCATTACAACCATCTATCTGTATGTACATGTTAATATAGCATGCAGACAGGTCATGTGCTGCAGGAAATGAACAGTTTCAACATTCAGAATAATAATCAACTAAAGACTCACCCTTTCTGTTTTGCCCTTGCCCTGAGGTTCTATGATGACTTCAGTTAATATAATAGTAACTGAACAATGTGCTTTTTTGCAGAGCAGCATAGAAAAAGCTGCCTTTGTCAGGCTGTACTTGGTCTCTCAAGGACGACTTCCCTTGACGGGCCTGACTGACATAGTCGGTGTTGCTGTTCAGCACCGTGAAAGGGACCCACTGGCCTGGATGATCCTGCACAGCTTATACCAGGCGCGGATTGTGAGCCACACCAACACAGGTGAGGCGAGCCCTGGGCAAGCATCAGGAGCAGAAAAATCTATTGCCCCTTTTGTGTTGTAATTGTTTCCTCAACTTAAATACTAAGTTAGTGTTTCTTGACATAGCTGAGGCCCTGTGACCCCAAATGCAGAGCACCTTGGGTGGAAATGAGCAGTTATAGGTTATAACATCTACTCTTTGGAGATGGGAATGAATTCTGTTGATGATTTTTATATTGTATTTGGCTCTCCAAGCTCTCAAGAATATACACAAGTTTATCAGGTTAATTCTGCCCATTTTGTTTCCCCAAAGAGGATGTCAATTGATTCTGCCTGATGTTTTCATGAAAATGACCTTGGTATTGGTTATTTAACAAACAAACAAAAAGAAAACAGTAACAACAAAATTAAATATTCCATAGAAAAACTTCTCAGGGGTGAAAAGAATAAAATCTGGCCACCCTAACTATATGCCGAAGCCAGAAGCTCCAGGCCTGAAGCCCTGGTAATGAATCATGTAGTGCAACTTCTAGACCATTTTAAGCATTTACATGTTAATAATCATCTGAAAATGGGGCTCCACCATTTCTCCTACTGTGCTTTTGGTCATATGCTTATAATTTCTCAAGTCTCCATTCAGGTTCTGAAATGGCACCTTTTTTGAGTGGATCAGATGTGGCTGGAAGCTCTGTGACCTTAGGCAAGTCACTTGTGTCTCTATGCTCCGTGTTCCCCATCACTGGTATCTTTGAGGTTTTGAGCAAAAACTGACAGACACGATTGAAATACTCCTTTCAAGACTGTATCAGAAATTTTGATTCATCCTCCTCTTCGGCAATTAAGATAATTGTCTCATATCTATATTAGTGCCTGCCCAGTGAACAAAATGAACCTGTGATGAGAAGCTAGATTTTCTAAATCAAAAATATATTTATCAGGAAGAAATCTGGTAGGTGTTCCCAATTAAGCAGGAGATACATATGAAGTAAACTGAAATCAGTTTGATACTTCCTTTGGTTCTAACTTCAAATTTAGTTCTCATTTTCCTGTTATTCACTAAATTTTGAAAACTTCCCCAAGTAGCCTTTTACTGTGCTTGGAATTCTCATTATCTATCTATCTATCTATCTATCTATCTATCTATCTATCTATCTATCTTATATTATTATTTATTAAGGTATCCTTGATATACACTCTTATGAAGGTTTCACATGCAAAATATTGTGGTTACTACATTTACCCATTTTATCAAGTACCCCCCATGCCCCATTGCAGTCACTGTTCATCAGTGTAGTAAGATGCCACAGAGTCACTACTTCTCTGTGCTACACTGTCTTCCCCATGAGCACCCCCTCCACCGTGTGTACTAATCATAATACCCTTCAGTCCCCTTCTCCCTCCCTCCCCGCCTGCCCTCCCCCACACCTCCTCTTTGGTAACCACTAGTCCTTTCTTGGAGTCTGCGAGTCTGCTGCTATTTTGTTCCTTCAGTTTTTCTTTGTTCTTACACTCCACTATTGAGGGAAATCATTTGGTACTTGTCTTTCTCCGCCTGGCTTATTTTACTGAGCATTATACCCTCTAGCTCCATCCATCTCATTTTAAAAAAAACGAAACAAGGAAAAATAAGTATTTATGCTGATGTTTATTCTCCAGTTACCCTGTAATAGCTGGTTTTATTTTTCTTTTTATGTCTTTGGGATAGGTTTTTGCTGTAATCTTAGCATAAATTGGGAACATTTAAGCAAAAGAAGACTATAAAAACAACTAATTACCCAACATGCAATATTACTAGCTAGTTGGCATATCAGATTTTTCCTAGTGTGTTTAATGTGGAGAGAGAAACATGAGTAAATGCATTTTATCACTAGTGGGTGAGTACGTTTGAAAATTAAGACCAAGAGGCAGTCATCTGATGTGAACAGTGTCAAAGAACTCTCTGATGGGCAGTCACAAGTGTCTGGTATTGCAAAAGGACTTAGACCTGTTTCATGGACTCCTCCCCAGGTGTTCTGCTTTGTTACAATGGCTATTACTGATCTGGTTTACATTTCAAAGGAAAACTATGGTCTGGTAGGAAAATGTTGTTTTCGTTTCAGGTGTGTTGAAGAGAATGGAATGGCTCTTGGAACTGATGGGTTACATCAGAAATATTGCTTACCAGTCAACATCTGTTCAGAACATAGCCCTTGATGAGGTACAATCTGGAAGAGTAATTTGTGGCTTCCTTAAAATATAGAGCTTTGCTCTCCCTAGAGAGGATTGTGTTGCAGCTTGCTTTTCTTCTCCCTTTCTTCCTTTTACTTTTGGGAAGCAATGGTGACAACTCTCTGGTGTCACAAGGAAATGGATGTTCTTACTGGCTCTCGGCAACATCCAGGACTGCCCTTTGAAAAATATTTTCAACTTAATATGTTCCTTGACAGAGTACAAAGGATACTAGCTGATGAGGGACCTATGTACTTGGGCTTCATACCAAAAAGCCCAGGCTTTTGGGATGTGGGCACAGGGTTCTGGCCTCTGCACCAGCCTACGGTATGGCTTCAAACACCTGGTTTGAAGAGGTTCCTAAAGAGTATGCACGTAATCTGTGTGTGTACTAACGCTTTCGTGCATGTATGTACTATTGGAGAGGATTGTATTTTCAGGAGAGGACCTGCAAAATGACCTATAACTCAAAAAAGGTTAATAGCCAGTGGTATTAGGTAAATTAAAAAAAGAAAATGATTGATAAATCAAATGAAGACAGCACTGTGCCACTCTTCTCATTATCTTGATCTAGCTGCTCATTGCGTATTTTTTAGTAGTGGAATTTTTCCTATAGGAATGTTTCATGGACATCCTGTTTACTGTGTGAGTGAAATTTGCATAGCCTGGGATGTTGTTTGAAATTCTGTCTTTTCTAAAGAGTTGCATATATTTTTGGAATTTTAATTAGTGAGATTAGGAATTTTAACATATCAAGGATTACTTTCTAAACTTTTTTTTTGAACTCTCATAACCTTTTACTTCTGATTTCCAAAGTTTTTATCTGCCTTCTATTTTCCTACAAAAATCTTTTAAAACCTAGCAAATACAGATAAGCAGAAAGAAGTGTAATTTAAGTCATCATTTCTACCAGTGTCTAGATTAGTCTGCAATCTGAATGGATAGATTCCAGGCATTTTTTTTTTAATGCATGTGGAAAGTCATTTGTTACTGTTGTTGAAAAGTAGAATCAGAGTATATGTATTCTTAAAAATTAGTTTTGAGCATGTAACAAATCTAAACATCCCTCTCCATATCACTCTTAATCCATTGTTTAATCTCTGAAAACACCAAAATACAGCAGCATTTGCATCTCAGTATGATTAGAAATTAAATTATGTTTCTACTGAAATGTTAGAGTAATAATAATGAAACTGTTCTGCCTTCTGTCTTTGAGAATCCCCTAACCGTTACAAATCCCAGAACTGTTTCTTCTTCGGGCCCGGAAAGGAGTTTGCTATAGCCTACTTCCTCTTCTGGGGTTGGGGTGCAGCAGGAGGAGGAGTTAAGGGGAAGATAACATTGCGCCATGATGAGGTTTGTGCATGTGACCATGTGTTGCTTTGAATTCTTAAAGTCTGTGACCTCACCTTGTTTCTGTTTCCGTTGCAGGCTTTGGACTTCTTGTTGCTGACATTCGCGGCCGCCGTGGTTGCCTGGGCAGACCATGCTGCCCCTCTCCTCCTTGGCCTGAGTGCCAGCTGGTTGCCATGGCATCAGGAAAATGGCCCAGCTGGGCCAACATCAAGTTTCCTTGGCAGGAGTCCAGTGCACAGGGTCACTCTGCAGGAGGCTCTCACGCTCCTTCCCAGTAGCATGCCTCTTCTGCTGCAGAAAGAGCCATGGAAGGAACAGGCCCAGAGGGTGAGCTGGGTAGCCGCCTGTGTATTGGGGCAGGTGGCCATTTGCTCTTCAGCAATTCCTGTTGTAGATGTAAGGTGGGAGTTAAGTGAAACTTGAATCACACCACAGGCTTTCATATGCAGCCCAAATCGAGCCACATGCACAGCCTCACAGATGGAGACCAGCCCAGGCTTGGGGTAACTTGATGAAATGCAACCATAACAGCAGCAACAGCTTGCTTACAGTTGAAGGTGAGGTGGAAGGAAAACTGATACCCGCCTTCCTTTAATGAAGGCATGTGTGTTCTTGATCCTGGGGAGGAAAGGATCAGTAAGTCTCAGAGCTCAGAATCTCAGAATGAGGATGGACAGAAAGGTGAGTTCAAGATTGCAAGACAGTAGGAAAAGGAGGATATAGCAGGGGTGCACAAGGCAATGGTGATCACCCAGCCCACAAGTGAGTCCAGGAGGACTCCAGGGGAAAATGGGAAAGTAGAGCATCCGTCTCTTGCAGCACATGTGAGGTCCCATGCTACTCACTCCATCTTGCAGCCATGCTCCACGTGCCATGGTGTGCCTGGCCTGTGCTAGATTCCATGGGAAAATCTGCAAAGGTCTAATGTCATCACGCTTGCCTTTGGGACAATCCAGGAAGCACCTTTTAGATCTTATGTTGAGTTCCTGCAAGCTGCCAGCTGTGTGCACAGCGTATAGAAGCGGTGTGTTCCTCTCCTCATACGTGGCTCTGGCCTCTCTTTAATACAGTGATTGAAAGATTCTTTTTTGAATTCCAATTAATCAAAACTGGGTTTTTATGAAGTTGAAAGCTTAAAAATAACCTTTGGGGGCTTAATCTGAACATTAATCTTTTAAAAAATATTTCTGAACTGTGTACCCACAATTTAGTCATGTAGAATTCCACTGAGCATCTCAACATGCTTTTGTTTTCATAAACCTGATAAGCATTAGTATTATTGCCCTAAATCTTGGGTCTTCTGTTTCACTTTAAATTTCACTGTGGTATCCCATCATGTTATTTCTGGCCTGGGACTGTGTGTTGACCTTAGCCTACAGTGTGGACATCTTGCATCTGTTATGTATTTGTACTGCTTGATTTATTTACTTACCAGTAGGATATTACAAAACAAAACTGAGAAAAAGAAAACTTTCAAAATATTATTAAAGCAGAAAATTAAGAATATTTTCTTCTTCTATTTTACTCTTTCATAAACCCAGCTTCTATGTCCACAGTTAAAATACCTAATACCTATTATTAATGTATGTGTTTTTTAATAAGTCAGGACTGGCAACATTCAGTCATCAATGAAATGACCCTGTATCTAATTCACAAACAATTTTGGCTATACCCTGGGAGATCAGTCAAACTCATGAGTACTATGAGTTTCTAGTTCATTTACAGGATTTATGTGCAAATAATGCACCTGACTCTACCTAGTAAATTATTTTATGCCTTTTCCTCTTGTATTTCAACTTCCTGTTTCATATCCATTTGGGCACAAACCATTCTCATTGGCAGAAGCATATTTCAGAAACATGAGCTTATATTTGATGTTTCCCTATTTACTGCCCAGCCTAGGAGCCTAGGCCAGCTATACCTGGAACCAGGTGGTAGGCAGCTTGATGCAAAGGAAGAGTATGAAGCTCTGAAGCCGGGTGTACTTGGGTTCAGATGTTGACTTGCAACTCATCGGAATGGACTTGGACAAGGCTCTTTACCTCTCTGGACCTCTCAGAGTGATGACAGATAATATTCATGGCACACTGGGGGGCCTCCATGTCTATCTCACTCTTAAAACCTATAGTAAAAACTCTTGGTATTTACAGGGGAGGAGGTTTGACTTGGACTTTGCTGGTCATTTAACTAGATGGAAGCAGCTGTGTCCGGCTTTACCATCTTTTGTGCGTGGTTTCCTGTCTCATCCCCACTTCCCTAGCCCAGACAGGGCCTACCGCACAGACACAGATGCGCAGGCCCAAGGTTCGGAGTCAACTCTTACTAATAGTAGGATTGATTGTCTTCACTGATAGTGTCCTTCATTTTCACCCTAGTTCATTGACTGGCTCTTCAGCATCATGGAAAGCCCTAAAGGAGGCCTCTCAGCAAAATCCAGGGATCTTTTGAAAGGTATTACCTCCACACTTTAACGCCCAATGTAATGAAAACTGTCCGACATCATCTTTGCTGCCTAACAGTGCGCTGGTATCTGTTGGTTCCTGAAAGGGCCCATCTAGGTTCTGTGTAGAAAAGTAGTCTGAAGCTGTCGTCAGCGTGGCATTTTGAATTAGATAATGGACTTAAAAAAGTGTTCCATGCCTTTAAATTTAACTTTTGTTTAAACAGTTCTTAAATGTTTTATTATAATGGTAAAATAGGACTTTAATTAAAATTTAGAAAAATCAGAAAAGTAAAAAGCAAAGAAGAATCCAGAGTCCATTACCTAGTGGCAATTTTGATATTTTTCCTAAGAAGTTTTTATCCCCTGTGTGGATGAGTGTTATTTTAACATATTTATAATCATGAAAAGTTGAAAAACATACATAGAGACTTTGAGTACTCCCTCTTTTATTTTAAAAGCATTTTACCCATTCTTGCACTGGCTTCACAAATAGTATTTTTTCATGGCTACATAATATTTTACTGAAGGATTTGGACATGTCTTATTTTTTCAGGCACCTAGATGATTTTTGTGTTTTTTAATACTTCTCTATTGATTTGTTATAAACTATGACTATAGGAAACAGAACCACAAAAGATCTTTCTGTGAAAATGATGTACATTATTTTACTCAACTCTGTGAAGTCATATGGCCTAAGACAGCTTGTACTGTCATCCACATCTTCAGACTTGGGGGTCTGGAGCTTATCAGTGACTGCTGTTGATGCCCCTGGCTGCAAAATATGGCACTGAGATGTCTCACTTTGGGAAAGTCACTTGTTGACCTACTCTTTTGATAATTTATCTGGTCAGCCTGAGTCATACTATGTCTGTATGTTACTATAAATGTGGTATAATTAACTGGTTGCCTAACAAGCAAGAATTCCCTAATTTGTTGGTTCTGGTCCTTCTCCCTACCCCCAAGTATGGGAGGGCGTGTGTAGGAAGGTGATTCAGATCAGCCACTGGGCCATGGGCAGCAGGGCAGTGGTCTGACATATCTGTACTTGATCCATCCCTAGACATTTGCTGCTAGGATCTCCCTTTGTTTGCCTTAGTGAGTTTGGACTCATTTTTAATTGCCATGTGTCCATAAAACCATTGGTTGCTCCAAACATATACTGTCTTATGTCATGAAGATAACAAACAATCCATAATGATGAAGGAAAGAGTTACTTGGGTGAAAGAAGTATATGTTCACTTGTTTATATAGTCCATGGCTTATCACAGTCATACACAATAACTGTGCAACTCTGGTTACCTATGTTCCCTCACACTATGTCTTAAATAACATCTAAGTATATTTATGTAAGTATCCTAAAATAAGACATATAATAAGTTGTCTAGAAGAATTACATATTGCCTACTTTAAATTGGTTCCTGAGGAACCCAGAACAAATAAGAAAAGGTGTGGACTTGTGGTCCGTGTTCAGATATAGTTTAGTGTGGTCATACGTGCTCCATTGGACACATGACCCTAACTTCATTATAAGGTTAGCTTTTTATTTTTGTTTTTTTTAGCTTTTAAGTAAACATTTAATGGAATAATCATATTCACATAGAAAAGTATATAAATCATAGGTAGTTATTTACCAAGGAAACACATCTATGTTATCAGCACCCAGATTAAGAAAAAGAACATGACCAGCATCCCAGAAACCAGATTTTTATTTAATTCTGCAGAATTTCCCATTAACTGGATGCAGGATAACTTTAAAAAAAAAAAAAAACAAGAAAAAAACCTTTTCCCAGCCTCTGTTAGTGGTTTTCCACCATTAAAATTCTGCCTAAGGCTTCAAGATTAGCCAAGTGAGAAAAAGCCAAGCTCTGTTCTGACACCGTTTTGATCTCAGTGACCTTTTCAAATGCAGCTTCACCGGGTGCAACAGTGGCTTTATGTTTTGTCCCCTTAGCCACCCTGCTGTCCTTGAGAGCTCTCCCGGAGTTCAAGAAGAAAGCCGTATGGACCAGAGCGTATGGTTGGTGAGGTTTTGTAGCAGCCAGCAGCATTCTCTGCTGGACGAGGAAAACCATAGAAATGGAAGCAACTTTTCAGAATTTGTGTCTGGGTTCACTGGGACATGTTGCAGAGTTCCAGGTCTGGGAAGGTGGCCACAGAACTGACAGCTGGACACATGCATACCAGGAAAGGGGGCGATGCTTCAGTACCCAAGCCAGTTGAGACTGAAATAAGAACTTGTATTTTCTTTTATTTAGCTAAAGTTCAGTCTGAAGGTTTTCTTTGTGAACATTTGATTCTATCTCATCTCTTCACCCTAAATTCTAGTAAAATACTCTTATGAATTTTGTGCATGTGACTTTTATTTGTTTTAAGGCCCAGGCAAGGGTCTGCTGGCAAAACCACTCTACAGTGCTGACAGTGGCATCATGATCTGATTCCCAGGAAGTCTCTGGGGGATATTCATTGACTCAATGTATTCTTATTGATAAACACTCTCTTGTAACTACTCGACACAGTTAGATAGTAAGCATGGTGTTGAACATTAGCTAAATCAGATTTATGAGTGGTGGCTATAATTTTCTTATGCTTGGGTCTCTTGAAATGCAAGTGAGTTACCCAATTCAGAAATAGCTTTAGCCAAAAAGAAAGCATTAGTTCACAAACCAAGAATTTGCGAGTGGGTCTGATCGAGCACGGCTGCGTCCATGAGCCACACCTGCCTCCAGGGCCTGGGATGTCTCCATGCAGGTGGCAGAATGGCTGCCAGCAGCCTCCAAGGGAAGGACGGCATCTCTGCACAGGGGTGTGGTGTAAGCAACACGGAGAGGACTCCGGGTTAGCCTGACCACGAGTCCCTGAACAACGCTCTGGGGCCTGGGAGAGTGGGCACTACTTGAGCAGACCTGGGTCTTATGTCTACTTGAACCAGGATCTTCCCAGAAGAAAGATGATGGGATGCTAGGCAAATATCTACTTGAGAGGTCAATCTTTTTTATAAGTACAAATCTCTAAAGGTGTCCAGTGGCCTAATGACAAGTGAATGAAGGTATGTGACTGTGTTCTCAAGGGATGCGTTTTACTTCAAGGGCTTGAAAACTAGCATTGTAATTTTGATCTGTTTGCTAATTGTCTTTCCTTCATGCAGCCATTAGTCAGGGCTGTCTTTAACCGGTCATCTAAACCTACAGAGGTACGTGTACAGGGGGCTCCTGGGGAGAAAAGGCATGCCACTGGGATAACGTGCTATGGGCCTGCCATGCCACAGCAGTGCCTGGAACTTGTAGTATTCCCGTGTGACATGAACCTTCACGTTGCCACCAAGCATACCTACTACTTGGGTTTTGTTTTCCAAATATATAATTTGTGATTCCAGGTTTCAAATACCTGTGGTTCACTGTGTAACTCACGCTCTGTTCCTAGGTCGCAGGTCTTGCCTTTACTGAGCTCCACAGGGTGCCAAGACACTCACAGGGGAAGGCTAGAGAAGGCGCGTCCTCAGGTGGTAGCCACCTGCACTGCCAGTAGTTCATGTGTGTTATACCTCCTAGACATTGGGCTAGAGGGAAATGAGTTTGAAGGAAACTGAAAGGTAGAAAATTTAACGTCAGAAGCCTGCCTCCCTCTCCTTCCCACCCACATACACTTCCTCCAGCCAACAAGAGGCTGAAAGGGACCCAACATTTATGTAAAGTGTCACACAGTAAGGGCACTAGAGCTTTCACTTGTATTCTTATTTAACTCTTGCAACAATATTGTGAAGAGGTGTTATTTCCTATTTTGAAATGGAGAAATGCATCTAATAGGAGACGAGCTACACCATAGAACCCCACCCCAGCCCAGACCGCTGCTCTTTCCACTGCATCTGGCTCATCTGTATCCACTTTAAGATGAAAATTCCCTCCAAGGATTAAATCTCATTTATGCTCAACATAGATTTCTGTAATCAGATAAAAGAACCCTGCCTTGTGTTAATAAGCCTCTGGAATTGGGAAGTTTAGGAGCTTTAGTGTAAATGAACAGGTCTTCGTTGAAGGACTTTCAATTCCTCAGCCAGCTTGCCAACACGGCTGGCGGTAAGGAACCTGCAGAGCAAGCAGGTCCTGCAGAACTACTCTGCGTTCTCTCCTGAATCCCTGGCAGCGCTTGCTCTCAAGGAGAGAGATGAAGAATCAGTCCAGTCTTAACCCAGACAGCCTTTCTCAGCTCAGCTTAGTTTTTTCTCATTCAAATTTTGTCCCTGTTCCTGTCCTTGAAAAAAAAAAAACAGCACAAAGGGAGGGAATAAGATCTCTCTGTCCTTTCTTCCCTAGCTCCTTTTTGTTTTCAGTCGGCTTGAGTCTAAGATTGTAGGATTTTCCTTTTTGTGGGAACCTCTAAAAAGTCTAAGGCGTACGATTATAAAGATTAGATTGAAAACCTAAAGGTTCTAATGGACTAGATATGTAAGGAAAAGAAGAACTCAAGAATAGTCCCAGATTTTTGGTTTGGTTATTACGTGGGTAGTGATTATCATTCACTGTAGTAGAAATAGGAAGAATAGGAGTAAGGATTTAATAATGTGTGTAACTGTTGAACTACTGTGTATACTTGAAACCAATATGATACTGTGTATCAACTATCCTTCAACTACAAAAAGAAAGAAATAGGAAAAAAAAAGAAAAGAAAACCTAAAGGTTCTAAGACACAGGTCACTGGAATACTACTACTTTCTCTTGGTTGCCTTTATGACCTCAGGTAAGAACGAAGTTATTCCCTTATATTTCAGTTTGTTCTCTAAAAACTAGAAAGCTCTTTTTTTTCAGACCAGATGTTCCAAACTATATACAAAAGAAAAGTTTCCTTTCAAGTCATCTTCTGTTGGGGTTTGAAATCACAAGTTGCCAAGACCAACAGCATGCTGGGATATGCTAACAAATTGATGTGTGGGGTTAAATCCATGTTATGGGTCACAGAAGTATCCAAACACTCTCTTGATTTGAACAGTGTACATTTGGAACAGATGCTGGCATCCATGCAAGTGCCTAAAATCTGTGTATTTATTTGTAATGTAATGACTGCATGGTAACTAATAGGCTGTTAATAACTTCTTTTTTTAAGTTAACTATCAGAAGTTAACATCTGCAAAATGATTTTAACCACAGATAATATTATAATTATATAAAGAGTAAGACTTTGTTAGGGACTCAACTACTATCTTGAAATAACTCAGTCACTTTGAAAGTAAGCAGTTGTTTTAGACTTTAGGTAAACATTTTAGTAAATTGCTGTTTTGGAAGAGAAATAAGATCAGATTTGGTGAAGAAGATGGGGACTTCACTAAAGCCAAAGATTTCAGGTTGGATCTCTGGTCAGTTTGCAGCTCTGACCCCTACCAGCCCATCCAGAGCTGCAGGCATTTCAGATGGAACCGGGGAGCACAGTGTGGCTTGAACAGTCTCGACCTTCGTCACTCTGTGGAAGGACACTTTACAGCAGCAGCGTCTTGTATAAATGTGTCACCATTGCTCTGGTCCTGGCTGAGGTAATATGCTTTTATATGTTCTGGAAGGAAATAGTTTAATCCTGGAAACTCTAAAATCTCTTTTTAAATGTATGGTACATATAGTGCTTATGAAGTTGAGAAAACATGTAATGTTAATCTATATAAACAGTACAAAATTCTTTAACATTGCAACTTAGAAAGATCATCTGATTCTTGTCAAACATAGAGAATTTGTGAAATAATTTCTAGCTCAGCTATTGGATAGGAAACAGATATCTAATCATCAGTCAAAGTGAGGACTCCCTGACTTTGGTTTTAGTTCTGGGGTAAAAGGAATAATTTATCTCACAAAGTAGTTGTGAGGGTTAAAAGAAAGAAGTGCTATCACTTTTGTATATTTCACTGAAAATAAACAGTTGCTGTAATGCTTGAAGACAGGCCTGACAGGGTAGTATGTACATTGGTACTTGAGAAGATAGTGGAAGTTGCCTAAGAAATTGTTCCACTTAACAATTCTGCTATTTCAGAACCAGGCAGCACATTAAGAAAGAATACTTATATTAAGTTAAGAAAAAAACAACTATGTCTTCTGAACATGAGGTACCCTTTGAGATTAATCAAATATAAGTGAAAAAATCACCTAATTAATCTGATTTCTTAAAAACCTTTTTTTCTGGATGTACTGGTAGTAATTCATAAAATAAAAAGTTGCACAGACATTGAGTGTCCACTGTTCACCGTATAACATTCTGGGTACAAAGTGAGCAAGACATTTCTGCCCTCGTGGAATTTACATTCAGAAAATATAAATCAATAAAGCATCATGCATTAAAAAGCAGTCAGGAGAGTTATAAATTCCTGATAGCTGTTTATAATTTACAAACGTTTAATTTACCATACTTCATTGGCTACTCAGCACCCTTGGGCAGTTAAAGACACTGGAACTCAGACATCCAGTCATTCCATCAGTGGCCATTGGAGCTGGATTTCCAAACAAATGCAGTGCCCCTCCCCCTCCCCACCCCCCCAGCCACTCCCCACAGGAACCCTGTGGTTCAGCTGAGTGCCACCAAGTACACAAGGGACACCTATGTTTATCTGAGGAATTAAGGTATATTCTTACTAATGGACTTTCATGGAATTGACTGTAATCTTTTTTAAGATGAGATTTAAAATAGATTAGTTAATACTTATGTTTATCATGTTTAAAACTATTTAACAAGAAAAAAATGAATGTCATCTCAAGTCTAAAAACAGAAAAGTATATCGTATGGTGGCTTCTAAATAACTTATTAGCAGTTTTCTGTCCAAAGGTCCAAAGGTGAAATACTTTAGACTCAAAAGTAGTGATTTCCAAAGTGTAGAATGCATGAGGCTTACTTAAGGATCCCATCAAAATGCAGGTTCCTGAGCCCCAAAGCATCTGATTTAACAGATCTTTAATGGAGTCTAGGAATCTGCATCTTAAACACACACACTTGTTAATTCTGATTACTGCGCTCCCTTGAATAGGACACTGTAAGAAAGTGCCTTGGAGTAAAGTGCATGACATGTTTGCAGAAGTGCACATCATTAAGACCCAGGTGAACAAAGTAAGAATTGTCCAAACAAAGCATGATAATGTTTACCAGGCAAAAATAAACAAATGAGAGGAAGATGTTGGGAGATGATTTTTAGCATATTTTAATTTTAAATCACTTAAATACGTTAGCACAATAAAATGTAACTGTTTTCTTTGTACATAGGTTATTTCTCTGGAGAAACTTTTCAGGTACTGATGTAGTTACTTCTTTTGAAAGAAACACATATGTGACAACTTGCTCAAGGTAGGCAGAATAAGGAATATTTTAAAAAGTTAACTTCTTAGGGACTTCAGTGTGGTATGGTACATGCTTTAGTAACAAGCTTGTTTGCAGGAAGCCTAGTAAGGGTTTTATGTATGGTGTGTGGCACATTGTAGGCACAAAATAAGTGTTTCTTGAATGAATGTACGCATTTTTGTGAAGTCAACTAGGAAGCAACTCATTCTAAGGGTAACCTGTTTATTGAACAAAAACATCAGACCAAGATGAAAGTGTTTCTTGAGAAACATACGGGAATAAAATACATCACTACCCAATGAGTATGTCTGGAAGAAGTGTTAGTTATTGCTTTTCGTTTCAATGACCTTGATAAAAAGGCTTTAAGGTAATGTAGTTTAAAAAATTTAAGTATTATTTAATGAAATTTTAGTTTCCTACAGTAGCCCAATAAAGTATAGTTGCTGTAATTCTTTCTTGTTTCAGTGACTCTAGGTGTATATTCCAACAATGTAAGTAGGAAGCCAGACTAAGTCACCTGGAGTTTGCAAAGGGATTCTTTTTGTAAACTAAAGCTTTTAGCAATTTTTTTTGTAGTTTTATTTCTACTACCTAGTTATTATGTCCCAAAATATTTAATACCCTTTTTATATAGTCACTGGATAAGATTCTATAATTCTTTCAAGAAAAGTGAGTGATACATTGATGGTACAGAAATTATTCTTAATTAGTCAATTCACATACATTTTGGATATAATAGTAAATCAAGAATTGGCAATATTTCAGATTTCTTAATAAATTTTTACTATATCTTTGTACCTCCTTGTAAGATATGTATACAGCCTGTTTAAAAAAAATTGGGGGCATTATTTTTATATTTACCAAAGATTTATTCTGTTTTCATCAAAGTCTAGAAAATAATTTTCTAGGTATGTCTAATGTTTACCTCTGGGGACAGTGATATCTGTGAAATATGTTATTCTAGACAACTACACAGAATATTTAGTCATTGCTTCCCTCCTACAGATCTACTGTAGTTGGGAACTCTGAAAAGAAATAGATGTAATTTAGGTTAGCAGTTTTGGTTTTCAATTTAATGAACGTATTCCAGTTAATTTCCTATTTCTTAACTTTATAGGAAAATGATCAGACTTCCTGATACAACTTTAACCCGTACAGAATCCACAGCTTTGGTGTTACAGGGGGTGTTTGGAAATACAATATGTAAGAACATAGACTACTGTGGTGTCTCTACTCCGGGGAGGAATACAATTGTCAGTCATGGAGTTTTATCAAATACTAGGTATCTTCCCACCGGAATGCTTCCTGTGCTGTGTTTACTGAAGCTGACTCCACATGCTGCTTTTCATCACATCAGAATGCTGTACTTCACATTTTCTTCTTTTTAATGGGAAAGACTCTGAGGATGTCTCTTCTTTCTGAGTAAAGATGACTGTAGGTAAAATACATACCTAATGTGGAGAAGGAAGTGGCAAAAGTAAGTAAACTTAATTAACCATTTTTCTGGAAAGACCCTTGGTTTTAAAATACAACCAGAGTGCTGCCTGTGGTCTAGGGAGGAGACATTTGAAAGGGAGACTCAAAGAAGGTCTAGATTTCCTGCAGAAGGGGAAGTAAAGAAATGCCACCATGCTACTATTTTGTTGATTGCAAGGAATTAGTTTTTCCCTTTCTTTAGGGTAGCTCTCTTCACTTCCCATAAAATTCATATATGTCTTCTCTTTTGTGGTGTTCTTCAGTATCTGATAGTTGTTACCTTGAAGTAATCATTATCTTGGGGATTTGTGAAGGCTAGAGCTGGAGAAGCTAACATTTAATAATGGAAATCTTTTTGCCAATATCCTGGGAAAAAACTGATAAGATTTTAAGTTTTGGTCTATACATTTTTTTTTAAATTTTTTTATTTTGGTATCATTGATCTACAATTACATGAAGAACATTATGTTTACTAGGCTCCCCCTTTCACCAAGTCCCCCCCACATACCCCTTCACAGTCACTGTCCATCAGCATAGTCAGATGCTGTAAAATCACTACTTGTCTTCTCTGTGTTGCACAGCCCTCCCTTTGCCCCCCCCCACACGATA